GGATCAAGAATTAACTATTTCGCTCCAGTACAAAAAAAGTGTTTATTCAAATAGGAGTGCACTTACAAAACTCTGTGTACAGGAGGGCAAACACATGACTTTATAAACTCAAATATGATAAGAATGCTGGACAAAATCTGAGTCCATTCATTGTTTCCCCCGCCAAAAATATGATGGGAACTATGATTAGAGCCATTTCCCCAGAGCTATCTTTTCCTGACAATACCAGGTTTAATTGCTTACTGCCAAGATGTTGAAACAGATCAGTAACACATCTTTAGGCATATAGTCCTCTAAATTCTCTTAATGAACTTGAGAAAGCAGTAGTTAAAATGCCAGTGAAAACCTTGTAACCACTGTCTCAAAATCAGCCGCTCTCCTTGAGGCCAGGAAATGCCATATATAGTTGTGGTGAGGAGCAGCGGCGCTCAGGAGAGCTGTCCTTGGGCTGTGGCGAGGGTGGCGCCGCAAGGGCCAATGCCACCAGGGGGCAGAGGACACGGGATCGGCCACGCCGAATGGGTTTGGGCTCCGGAGTCACCCTCCCTCGGCGTTTTGGTCTCTTGCAAAGTTAGCAACCGTACAACTTTATCTATAAAACATATATCTCTATGGCATTCTCCATTTCTTTATTCACATCAGAGATGCATATTTAGAATGAATTCAAACTTTTCCACTCGCATGCATATTTTCCCAATCAAATGCAAATTCTCTCCCATTACTTTCGCAGTGCTTGTTGTTAGCTGTCCAATTTTAATATCTTTTCCTCTCACACTTCTCTATTGGCCTACTACAGAAAATTATCAAGCAATAAGCACAACGAGCATTAAGAACTCCAGGAGCAATAGATCTACGAGACTTCAGGAGTGTAAATCACCACAATGAAAGATTTTCTGATATCACCTACTGCTCCCGTAGTTATTACTACCCATCATTCATTCCCTGCTAAAAAACACATCTCAGATCTTGTCTTTCAGCCGCAGTGACCTTGCTTTGACTGGGGTTATCTTGATCAGTTCTAAACCAACCAATCAAGGTGGATAAAAAGGGGGGGTGGGTTTCGAAGAGGACTATAATATACATTCACATCATCAACATCAAAGTTCAAGCCACCATCGGGAGACAGAACAAAAACGTTTTTCCAAAGTCATGAGGTTCTGGTGCCTTCAGTTTTCAGGCTGTGACTCTTAAATTCAACATGAAAAGATGGGGCTTCAGTGAAATTTGAATTCTTAAATGTATTTTCATATTCTAATTTTTTTCTTATTTTCTTCCCAGATAGGCATCTAAAGCACTGCACTCTAGATCCTACTGGCCTGTAGTTGATCTAGTTTACTACTAATTGTTGAATACTAGAAGCAAAACATTGACTGTTCAGTAAAGGTCACAATTTTATCGTTATTATTTTCTATTGCTGTTATAGATATATCAAAATGACGTTTTAAATGTAAAAATAAGAATGATGTCACTGCTGGCCATTACGACTTGACTAGATGTTAGGTATTATAGAAAGTGCTAAAATAAATATGTTCCTCTTCACTCTTCCTACTACTGTCTTTGGGAACTTGAATACCTTTTCAGAGAAATTTGTGTTTTTCACTAAGATAAAGAGCAATAAGAGTAAAATTCAACTTGAAGACTCATCCACTGTTCAATGGAAAAGTATTCAAAATATTTTAAGAGACTTTTTTTCTCTAGTGTTTATCAGAGTCAAAAAAATGACTTCTCCAAATATTATTACAGAAAAAAACATGGATCTTCTTCCTTTGATTCATACATCTGAATATAGAGATTTTAACATTTGTTTCTGCAAATAAGCAACGCTTACTTTGTAAGATTGATTATGTATCTGATTATATATCCGTTAATGTAACTGAGGCTTTGTAATTAGTACACAGTCAATTACTATGAAGCCGTCTTAATACAGTTTTATATATATGTATATAAAATTTATTTTCAGACACCATTCACAGTTGTGTAAATCCGGGATGATTCCACTGAGATTAAATTAATCCAGAAATGAACTCTCATACTCAACAGCCTGTGCCCCACCTCTAATAAATATAGAGGATGACACACGGTAATAGTGACACAAAGGCCACACCTCTGAAAAGCTCACGGGAATAAGGAAACACCTGTTTGTGCTGTGGAAGAACAGGTGGGAAGCGGTGGTTTGCCGGCTCAATATCCGGTGCTCGCGATTACAAAGAACGGTGCTCAGGTGCCTCTCTTTTTTTGCCCTATGAGTTTATTAAGAAGCCGCCGGTGCTTTGCGCTACCCTAGAGATGTCTTTCCAGCATCGCATGGCTGCCCCCATCTCTCCCCGTGTCACCTCGCCGAGCCGTGCTGAACTCACACCGTTCTGCCTGCTGGGTAGCGCAGGAAGCCTTAATTACAGCCTGAAAATAATACCCGCTTCCCCCGGGAGCCTCCCCAGCTACTCCTGTGGGATGGGAGAAGCCGAGAGGAGCCAGGTGGGGGGAGGCTGGCGCTCCCCGGCCCCGAGCGCGGGCAGCGGCGCCTCCGTGCGCGCCGGCGAGGCGGCCCCAGCACCACGGCCAGCTCCGAGCGGGCGTCGCGCCCCGAGCGGCCCCGGCCCCGGGGCGGAGCGCGGTCCCGGGCAGCGGCTCAGCGACGGGGCGGCCTCGGCACCCGCTCGGTGCCGCCGCGGGCCGGGCGAGGGCTCCCTGCCCAGCTCAGCCCGCGCACCCGCGGGACCCGGCGCGCCCTCCGCGCCGCTCGCTCGGCCCCGAGCGGAGGCTGGCACCTGCTCGGCAACTCGGGGGAAGCGTTCGGCGCCGGGGGAATCCCCCTTCCTCCCAGGAGGGGGTCGTGCGGCGAGGGGAAGCCCTCGCCTGGGTCACGCTGCGTAGGATGGGGCAATCCCTTCCACCGGGGAGAAGAAGGATGCCGAGGGCTCCGGTGGTCCCTTCCCCCGCTCCCCCATCGCTCAACATCGACCCCTACTCGCGCCGCCCCCCGCCCCAGACGGGGCGTGTACCAACTTCCCTCCCTCCCCCGGCCTTGCCAGCGCCTGGGGCTCCCCGGCGGGCCACGCTCAGGAGCCGCGAAGGGGCCGGCGGTGCCGGGAGGGCGGGGACGCCGGGGCTACCGGAGGTGGCGGGGTCCCCCCGCCGCCATCGCTCTCGGTCCCCGCTGACCCCTGCAGCCGCCGCGGTGGGGGATGTGGCACGTCGCGGTGCTGCTGGGGTGTAGCTTATTCCTGATGCCGCTGTTTGTCGCCGAGTTTTGAAGAGATTTATTGGCTGGCTCTTGCTAAACCACGCTTGAGTAATCCGAGCTGCTGCGCGCCGTGGTGAAGCCCGGAGGGGGGAACGTCACTCCCTCTGGCAGCGGAGAAACATTAGTCTTCCAGCCCTCAAACCACCACTACAGCGTCGGAAACTGCCGGGTCACAGCCATTTGCTTTGGAAAATTGGCGATGTTTGGTGCTAGAGATCGATTACCCTTGTAATCTTTCCCCACCCGCCACCTCCTTCTGCTTACCCCACCCCTACCCGCCCCAGACAATAGCGTCCGAGCTCCTCCAGGAAAAAAATAGAAAAGAAGGCAAGGAGAGAAAGAAAGAAAAAGAAAGAAAGAAACTGGGGGATGAATCTGACTCCAATAGGAAAAGCGTGTCTCTAGAAGTGGTGCTAATGGGAAGAGATTTCCGAGCTCCAGAGGACGATGATTTGTCACAAAGGGTAGCTGGCTCGGTGCTTTGGGCTGGAGCCGTGTAGGAGATCCTTGGAGAAGTCATTGTGCACAGAAAACCGAAGACCTGTACAAACATGCCTGTTCGCAGAGGTCATGTGGCACCACAAAATACATTTTTGGGTACAATCATACGAAAATTTGAAGGGCAAAGTAAGTTCTCGCTTTCTATCTATTTTGCTGTAGTAGTTTTATTCTGCTTGTGACTAAATGGACAGCAGCTCCAGACTATTTTTAAGTTTGTAGCTTGCAAGGAAAACCCAGGAGGTAAGAAGGGGATCCCTGGCAGAAGTAGTAATGTTTTTGATCTAGAATACACATTACCAACTTGAATTATTGGTTGGTGGGCTTGTTTGGATTTGGGTTTTTTTCGGGAGGGGGGGTTGGGGCTATTTTCCCACACTGTTTCAAGAATAGTTTTTATCGTTGCCTGTATCCATATTTTACAGCTATAGTAGTTATCTCTTACCTTCTTCTGAAGCAGTGAGATGGCTCTATAAGCAGAATGTAGAATCTTGTTGTCTTTGCAATGTCTAAAAAATAGGCTAGATTTATTATTATGATTGTTAATGCTGTTAATAATAATAGCCTTTTCAAAATAAAGCAGAACTTCAGACTTTGATTTAGAGGAAACAGAAAATATGCATAGGAGTTATTAAAGAGGAAATACTCTCTTACCTTGTTGTCATGGCTGCATTTTGATATAGCTGTCAAATTTCTCTCTTTTGTTTATGTAAGTCTGAAATATCTATCAAACCAGTGCAAATGCATCCTCAGGGAGAGTCTGTGAAGTCTTTTCCAATGCAGCAGTTTACTACCTGTCAAGGAGGCTGAAGCTGTAATGTTTTTTCCTGGCCAGAATTCTGGTTTCCTATTAGTTGTAAGAAGGAACACTTGATGCTTAAAATGAATTTCATTTAGGAACAGTAGTTTGATATATGTACATTGATTTAAATATTTAGCATAATTTTAGTATCAGTGTGGTGTGTGAGCCCTTACAGGTAATTCCAGTTCATATACTTCCATATACTTAAACCCATAGTAGCATGTCTAATATTTATAATTTTCTGAGAAAAAAATATAGACAGTGCTACTCCTAATTTATCTATATGTTAAGTTGGTGTTGCTACTCCAAGTTTTTATGTAGTAAAATGTATATTTTTTACACTAATAATGTACTAGCTACTAAATAGGCAAGTGATAGAGAAAGTTCAGCATGATTGAAAGATAGCAGAAAAAGTAATGAAATATCCAGATACATTGCTGTGTTCAAAAATGGATGTATTTAAAATTTTGAAGACTTGGACTGTTTACTTGGTGTCATGTAAGAAATCTTTTATAAAGCAAGCAGTTGCCTTGTAAATTTAAGTAACTAAAAATTAATATTATTAGAAGTAAATGTATCGAAGTTACACATTTAGAATTACAATGGGAATAATGCGTTTAAAAGGTAAGCAGGCTAGTAAGAGTTGAAAACTTTTGAACCTATCTTTGAGTTGAGAGTCTGGGAAAGGAGGATGGATGGAAGCACAGAACTTCAGTGAAATGTGCAAAATGTTTCCAACATAACAATCGTTTAATGTACTCCCTTTTTGTAGATAGATAGACCCGTTAAAATACGGACTATAAATTTTGTTATTCACCTCAATGAAAATCTCTACAGAGTAGATTGAGATTGGCCTTACATCAGGAAGCCCTTTAACTTGAGTAGAACCCCCTTCCCGAGGCTCTACTTTTCCCCAAAAGAAGCTACTAACTTTCCAAGGACTTTCCTAGAGTTGCTACTGATGGGACAGCACTCATTGCTTAGGCTTCAGTGAAAACTGAAACAGACAAAATTTTGAAATCGAAAGGGGATTTACAGAGACTTGCATAGTGTGGTTTTATTTCCTTAAAAACCAATTACATTCATCTTTAATATATTCTAAATTAATTAAAGTTTCTTTAAAAGCTACAGATCAAATGATCTTCATTAAATGACTGAAAATCTCTGTATTTCAGACATTCCCATGAAAAGAATGGTTGCTCAGCATTCATCCCTGCAATCGACCCTATAAGAAATGTTGAAAGAGTACTAAAAAATGCATCACTTTCTTTTATTGCAGATAAAAAATTCATCATTGCTAATGCTAGAGTGCAGAATTGTGCTATCATCTACTGCAATGATGGGTTCTGTGAGATGACCGGGTTCTCCAGGCCAGATGTCATGCAGAAACCTTGCACCTGTGATTTTCTTCATGGGCCCGAGACCAAAAGACATCATATTGCCCAAATTGCTCAAGCCCTGCTGGGGTCAGAGGAGAGGAAAGTAGAAGTCACCTATTATCACAAAGATGGTAAAGTCTGGTTTTATTTTCAAAACTTTTTGTGTGTTTGGTCAGCAGTTGATTGGTAAAAGAAGTGTGTATGTTGTACTGGCCAGCCCCTCTGCTGGAAGTGTTGTAATTTCTGTGAAGTTTGGTGAAATACATTTGTATGTATCAGTAAGGGAGTCTGCCCTGAGAGTGGTGGGTGTTTGGAGTGTATCACTCACTCTGTATGCTCACTCTACCAGCTGAGTGAAGCCAGCACAATGTTTGCAACTCTGGAACAGAAGTTCTCCTCTTGGTTGGTTTAAAGAAGGTGTAAATCACTTAATGTAACCAGTATACAGGAAATGTACCTTGATTCAAATGCAGTATTTTACCACAAAGTTAAAAGTAGAAAAAACAGTCCATCATACTGCAAGTATTAGCTTATAAAGCAAGGTACAAGTCTTTTTCAGAGCTGAGATATTGTGAAGTACCTGCAACTGAACTACTGATATTGTCCTAGTACTGCCAGAGACAAAATTTGGGTTTGCCTAGGCTATGAACTATTCCCTGTTATTCAGTGAAGACTCGATATATGCAGAATGCCTGAATCTGCTGATACTTTTTTTTTCTGTTAAGAGCAAAAAAATTAATAAATTTATATGCAGATTTAAAAATGCATACGCATGAGAAGTAATTATGATACATAATAGCTATATGTAGAGTTTTGTTGTTGGTTGGAGTTTTTTTAATTACCCAGAGTTATTTACAGAAACACCCATCTTTCAAATGAATTCAAGTAATTGATAATTGTGGTGTACCTTATTTTGTCTCTTGCTGTGTACGCTCTTGGGAGAAGGAAAAGGAAATTCATATTCAAATGCTGAGCTTAAATTAGTTCTGGAGAAGGGCCAGTGTGTTGTTTACATCAATTTTAGAATCACATGTGATGTGCTCTCTCATTTTAAAGTCACAGAGTTAAATCCTGTTCTCAATAATTCTGTTGTTATCTTGGAAAGACTTAAGTAATATTATTTTTAGCTTAGGCTGGTGTAATTCAGATAGGACTCAGGCCAACCATTCTACCCACGCTACCAATATTTAAGCATACTCTTCATAGCAGATTCTCAGTAGAGCCGTTTATTCTTAGATCTGCTTTGGTGGTCTGGAGCAGATTTTGGTCAAGATTCGTTGTAGCTGTGCTGTGGACATAGCTTTCTCAGGAGACTTGACACTGTGTGTCTTTTACACATCTACCCTGTGTTTGTTTTAACTTGGCATGTGTTAAAAATAATATCGCAAAAGGAGGAAGTCAGTGCTAGCTTTCACAGCCATCAGCCTGGAGCACTGTTTGGAGATGTAGTAGTTTAAAAGTCCTAAAGTCTCCTATAACAATGTGAGGGAGGGAAAGGCATTTAAAAGTACTGTTTATCTGTCAATTACCAGAGATGGATAGGTAGGTTGGTAGATAGACAGAGCCTTCTCTAAAATGCTGAATTCTGAAATCATGCAACACACTATAATCTAAGAAAAACCAAAGAAATACTGTCCATAAAAATTGCTATATCCTTCATAAACAGTTTTTGAAAGCTGAGTTATAGATTGTTCAGTGCAAACTCTTATGTATAAGGGTTTTCAGTAACTTCACTTCTGTGAATACTTACTTTAACTGCCTTAATATGTTACTTGTCTAAATGTGAGCAGGATTCACCATGTGAACTGTATGATCTGCTAAATTTAAACAAACACCGGTGAATCAGGCATAAATTGTCAAAATATAAGATATGTCTGACACTCAAATGCATGGTTATCTGTCGGCTTGATTGTATATATAGATTTTTTTTGTTTTGTTCCACATAATGTTCAATTTCTTTTCAAAATGTGATAGAAAATCTTAATCTATGTGGTGTCATGAAATTGAAACTACCTGTATGGTGAATGTAACTAAATAACTCAAAAATATATACCTCACTTTTTGAAATTTTCAGATTTGATTTTTCAATATATAGCATAGATACATATACCTATATATAACATCGTCTGTATATTGTAGCATTATACAGAATAGTGATATGTAACAAGGACTTCCTCCAGGTTGTGAAACAAAGTCAATTTCAAGGGTTTTCTAAAATTGTGAGAGTTTAGTGCCTGGTTAGTGGCTTATTTTGTGTGTGTACTCTGAGTGAGTATGAGATTTGAGGTCAATTTCAGGAATTCTCAATTTTCAGGGGTCAATTCTAGCACAGTCAGAAATGTAACTTTCTGCATGGGAGTAACTCAGGTTACTCCCGTGAACTATCTGCTGCTTAAGAGTTTGACACTGTACTTCAGGGCAAAACATTGTATAATATTTAACATAATACTAAGCATATGGAGGAGGAAGACACCTCAAGAAGCTGTGAATTGTTTGAGTTTCCACTGACGGGATGTTCTGAAGACCATATTACACACTCCTGAGAAAATGCCTAGTGATTTGCAAATAAAACCTTATTCCACATCACACTATCATTTACTCTACATAAGCCACTGATTATATTAAAAATTATTTTAATATTTTGAAATAAAGCAAATGTCAATGGGATCACTTATAAAGCTGATCTGTCATCAGAATTCCAGCAATGCAGATACCAGAAAGGGAATCACTCTATAAATAATGCTTTTTCTTTTTGATTCTAAATACCACCTCATGTAATTTTAAAATGTCACAGCTTTGAAGCTCAGCTATAGAAAAATGGTATTACACACATACATGGGGAATTAGGATTCTGATGTTCTCTACTGGTCTATAGTCCACTTTTCTAGAAAGTGCAAAATCTTGAGTTTTAAACATCTTGATGATGCAAGACAAAGCTGCTGTTTGTTCACTGCTTTAATCTTTTGGCCAAATAACACACTCAAAGATGGGACAGAAGGATGGCAAAAATTGTTGCAAGTTGATATTCATAAAATGGCAGTTGCTTGAATCTACAGTGCCTTAAACATGACAGACAGAAGATAGGGTGGTCAAAGAAGAAAAAAATTCTATATATGACGATTTTATGAATGAGTAACCTGGATGGAGCCTATTTCCCTTTTTACCGTGCTGTGTGGGGAGGGTGCAGAGAGTTACTCAGTGCTTGTGACAGCTTTGTGTAATTTTTTATATGGCCTGGACTTGGGCACCCAGCAGGCCCTGTCTCAACCACACCAGTGATGTCTTTAAGGCAGATTTTATCTTTTGCAGCTGAAAGCCTTTACCAGGTGCTCCTGGAGTTCTATCGGAATATAGCTTACTTTTGGTTCTAATTTCTCATCACTCTTTTTCCTTTCAGAAGGGTATTTACACAATCCAAACAAAGTTCTAGTCCTCTGTCCTCTTCAAGTGGTGTCACAGTAGGCAATTACATATATACCAGAAGAGTTAGTTACTGAGAAAACTGGTTAATGGGAACAGATGGTGCCAAACCTCAAGGTTGCTTGAACCTGCAAGTAGCACAAGTAGCTCCACAATTGTCACTGGATGTACTCATGGGATTAAAGATACAGTAAATTTATTTTTTAATGTAAATATCTGTTTTTAAAGAGAGCAATAGATAAATATAAGTCACAAGAACTATTATTTTGCAATAGATTTTTTTTCCAAGGATTGCCCATTAGGCATTAGCATCTGCTCAATTAAAAAAATTATACTCTGATATCAAAGTAGCAATATCATAAATTCCTTACTATCTCACTTTTTTTTTCATTAATCTTATAGCAGTATGATCTGAATTATACTTGAAGGCAAGATATTGTTTATACAGGATATCAGTTCCTATTTTAATAAAGTTATTTATGGTGAAAATGTTTGACAGCTCTTCCTTTGAGGACTCCATTTTGCAGTTTAAGTCATTATTGCATAAATCATTCTTGACAGATGTAAAATATTGCTTGAGGTGATAAAGCTGTAAAACTTTTGAGATAAAAATTATAATTATTTTGGGATTGAGAATGGATATATAATAATCAGAAAGTATTGTGCCACACAGAATACATTTTTACTTCTTACTATATGCTTTGTAGGCAATAATGGGATATGTCTAAGCTTGCAGGTGGTATCTGCTAAAGGAATGTAGGATCATTTAAGCTTAGCCTATATGCAATCAGATATTCTGGGGTTGAGAAGAGCTAAGGTAGAGTATAGATTTGAGCAAAGATAAGATCAAGAAGTTTGCAGTGTGTGTACAAACCTCATAAACTACTTGCCATTTACCCAGTTTCAAAAATATAATTTGCCAAAACTGACTGCAAATTAAACATACTTGCATTTTCAAAGCACATTTCCAATCTATCTTAAGGCCTTTTCAGCTTTTTTGAGGATAGGAAAATAAAAATTGTGCAAACATACTGACAAAATAAAGTGAAAATGGTATTAAGAGTTCTTAAATAGAAAGATCACGACTTCATTTAGAAGCTAATCATCTAGACTTCAGTCAGCATAGGCGTTTTACCACCTGTTTGTATCAACCTATCAATCAATAAAAATACAACTAAAAAGAAAGCTGTGTACATGTGTGTCAAGTCTCCTTACATTAGCTCTAGCATGAGGGTCAGCAGCTATAGTCTTGACCGTAGTTTCAGTACCTTCTGCAGAACTTTTGAGATAGGTCAGAGTCCAATCTCTCTGAAAACCTACTGGTGTAGGACTCCTTGATATAAGAAATACTATCAGACTGCATTTTGATAAAGTGTTATCCCCCACCAAAAACCTGTCAAAAAACCCTTTCTTAATGCAGGGCTTTTTTTCCAGGCCTTCCTAAAATACCTCTTGGATGAAATCCAGACTGTTACTGAAGGCATTGACCTATTGGAAATGAATGAGGACATCCGTTCTTATGTCTGTAGCACAGTGTTTCTACCTTTGGCTTTAATACTTGTCAAGAAAAAAACATCCCTTGTCCCATTCAGATACTGCTCTGATGTCTGCCCAGAACTGTGGGTCACTTCTTATTCACATTTCATATAGGATACCTAATGATTATGATAAAGTACCTCTTAGATATCCTAAGAAAGCTTATTTATGAGTC